TCCTACGAGAAAAAACCTGCAGATGTTCTGAAAGAACAAGTGGAGAAAAATTACTTGTCCCAGGTTAGAGCACAAAAACCTAATCTAAAATGATTGTTTGGTTCATTTAATCATACACTGATGACATCATTCCTATTATTGTTTTTTTGTTGTTGTCATATTTAATACTTCCTTTTTGTTTGACAGGTTACAGATTGTTTAACCACAGTGAAGTCTGTCAATAAGACCGATGCCATGACTCTCCTGTCTACTTTTTCTGTAAGGAATTATTTTCCTTGATATGTTGCACATTTACTGCATTACTTACACTACTGTTCAAATGTTTGAGGTCAGTAAGATTTTTTTTTTTAAAGAAATTATTAGTTTTATTCAACAAGGATACATTTAATTAATCAAAAGTGACAGTAAAGACTTAGAAAAAATGTATCAATTTCAACAAAGATATTAAGCAGCACAACTGTTTTCAACATTGATAATAAAAAGAAATGTTACTTGAACACAAAATCAGCATATTAAATTGATTTCTGTCATGTGACACTGAAGACTGGAGTAATGGCTGCTGAAAATTCAGCTTTGCAATCACAGGAATATGTTACATTTTAAATTAAAATATATTAAAATGGAAAACAGTTATTTTGAATTCACATTTTTGATCAAATAATTATGCAGACTTGGTGAGTTTAAGATACTTTTTTCCAACCAATCAATCAATCTTACCACCTTAAACTTTTGATTTTGTGTATATAAAACCCATTGCCAATAATCTTGAAATATGTAATTGTATAAAATTGTATCAATGGTATGTTCTTTTATGTTGATGCCGTTTTATCTCTTCAGTCTTTGGAGGGAATCATTAAGGCCTCTAAGGAAGAGCTGGTTTTGTGTCCTGGACTTGGTCCACAAAAGGTGTGCAGAGACACTTTGATATGTTTTGAGCAGTTGGCTTTATATGTAGCATCTGATATCAGTTTACATGTGTTACTGTACATAGTTTTACATATATTATTATTGCTCATGAACTTTAACAGTAAGTGCATTTGACACTTTAAACTTGTCCAAAGGTATGTGTCTTAATTTCCTGTCCTGTTTGTGGTTCATTTAGGCAAGAAGGCTTTATGATGTACTGCACCAGCCCTTCATAAAGACCAAGAAGAAGGAAAGCTGAGCTGATAAAGCCAAGCTGCTTTTCTTGAAATCACCAACTGTCTTGGAACAGCGTGCCTAGAATAAAGTTCTGGGGCCATATAGCACAAGGTCAGCTGGAGGCTTCAGGGTCATTGGCCTATGATGATCTCGGCCTTTAATTTGGGGCATAAACAGCCATAAATGCAGTGGTTTATTTATTAATTTTTGTAAAGAATGTAACCTGCTTTTGTAATTCAGTCTGACTCAGTAGGATGAGGCAAGGTTAACATTTTAGTTAAAATAACTTTTTTTTTTTCATGTGTGTTTATGAAAATTTCAATAAATTTCAACACTATTTTGCAGTATGTTATGTTGTTCTTTTAGAGTGGGAGGGGAGATTCTATAATAACTCCATGATTCTTATTGCAACTGAAACAAAACCTGTAGGAACCACTTGTCATACATTAAAAAAAATGGTGGAAACTTAAGAACAGACTCAAATGATACATCAGAATTAGACTTTATGGACAAACTGACTCGGAGTATGAATGTGTTTGTGGGCCAAAAGTTCATTGCCATCACAATTGCCACAGAAAACGACATCACAGCCTTAATCTCACAACTTACTAACTGACACACAACAAGCAACAAGCCAGGTGGGAGGTTTTATACTACAGACAGTCATAATTAGAATCTTCTTCTCAAATCTATCTAGTGCATTAATGTGGAGGTTATACTGTTCACAAAGTTCTTAAAGAGATAGTCCAACCAAATAAAATTACAATTCTGTCATTATTTACTCACCCTCATGTTGTTTCAAACTTGTATGACTTTCTTCTGTCAAGCATAACGGCGATATTTTGAAAAAGTTTTTTGGTCCATATAGTGGAAGTCAATGGTCACCAAAGCTGTTTGGTTTCCAACATTCCTCAAAATATCTCCTTTTGTGTTCTGCAGAAGAAAGCACGTAATGCAGGTTTGGAATGATATGGGAGAGTAAATGATGACTGAATTTTTTGGGTTTTTAGATGTTCATGGTATTTTTTTAAATATTTTTTTTCTGAGAACTCGCTGTTATTAATACATGCAAGTGAGATCTTTCCCCTACAAATTTCCATTGTGTGCTTTCATAATGTGCGAGTATATAGGTGAGAAGAGTCTCTGACCTACATACTCTTGTCACATATAAGAGTAGACCACACTGTAGGTCAAATTCTGCTCATATTCCATTCCTGCATCAGCACAGTCGTACATCATGCTGCTCACCGTCTGTCTCCTGCTGTCTGTCTTCTCTCTGTCCGGTAAGACATTCACGTCTTACATCAATAAGGCCGATTCTTTTGGGAGGGAATGTTTTAATTGAATACTATTAATATATTAAGACATATTTCTGTATGTTTCCACATTTTTTTTTATCAATGGCTTGCAAGCAGTTTCAGTGATTTATTAAAATAAATTAAAATAAAAACCTCTTTTATCATGATCACAGGAGATTGTGTGCTTTCATAATGTGCGAGTATATAGGTGAGAAGAGTCTCTGACCTACATACTCTTGTCACATATAAGAGTAGACCACACTGTAGGTCAAATTCTGCTCATATTCCATTCCTGCATCAGCACAGTCGTACATCATGCTGCTCACCGTCTGTCTCCTGCTGTCTGTCTTCTCTCTGTCCGGTAAGACATTCACGTCTTACATCAATAAGGCCGATTCTTTTGGGAGGGAATGTTTTAATTGAATACTATTAATATATTAAGACATATTTCTGTATGTTTCCACTTTTTTTTTTATCAATGGCTTGCAAGCAGTTTCAGTGATTTATTAAAATAAATTAAAATAAAAACCTTTTGTATCATGATCACAGGAGGATTAGAGAGTGGTATTGTAGGAGGCAAAGAGGTTAAACCTCATTCCAGACCATACATGGCATCTCTCCAGTATAGAAGACAACATAAGTGTGGAGGGATGCTGATAAGTGATGATTATGTGCTGACATCGGCTCACTGTTTGGAGTGAGTATATACAATTAATATATTAGTATTTGAACATGATGAGGTATTGTAGTCTTTATCTGGATTTTTATTTTTTTTTAAACAGTGTACTAACATGATGCTCTGCAGTTGTCACCTCTTAAAATAACCTGAACAATAAATGTTTTCACAGCAAGACCACCAACTTCTTAGAAGTTGTTCTGGGAGCTCACAATATTAGCCAGAACGAGGACAGCCAGCAGATTATCCAAGTAGACAAGTACATCAGACATCCTAAGTATGAAAATGATGGCTTGACCTATGATATCATGTTGCTAAAGGTATTATTGGTGCTCAAATGGTCCTTTTTTTGGGTGGATCGTAAATTATTATTATTTTTTATTTTATAGAGGTATTCACTGACTAATATGTTACAGATGAAGACCAAAGCCGTGCGAAATGAGTTTGTGGATGTTATTGAGCTACCTAAGAACAATGAGGATATTCCTGCCCTTGTGGAATGCTCCATTGCTGGCTGGGGCATGAAAAAACCCGGAGGAAGAGCATCAGATGTTCTGTGGGAAGTCAGCCTCAAACTGCAGTTCAGCTTTGAATGCAAAAACAAGTGGAAACACCATTTCAACTCTGAGAAAATGATCTGTAGTGTCTCGGATGGGAAAAGGGCGTTCTGTCAGGTACTGCAACTATCACTTTTGATAATTAGCAAAAAATGTATGTCATCTTATATTTCACATAAATTCACATTGTGGCAGACTACATTTTAAGTCTTTCCTTTGTTTCTTTAGGGTGATTCTGGCAGTCCTCTTTTTTGTGACTCTGAACTTAAAGGAATGGCTGCATACACATATCCTTATGACTGTACATACAAGAAATACCCTGAAGTCTATATGAAAATATCTGCTTTCCTCCCGTGGATTAAGAAAAACATTAAGTGATTGAAATAGCATCATTTATGCACGTAAATGATCTATCATGTGTTTAAGCCTAAAAAGCTCTTTTACTAATTCTTGGCTAGTCCCTGATGCTCTTTCCATATGGAATGTCATTCAAATGGTTAAGAATAATTTATTTGACCTTTTCTCTGTATTGCTTCCAAGGCTGTCTTCAGGGAGAACAAGTGGGCCCACTAAGGTCCTCTATGATATAACCTACTTATTGGACTAGCCTTCTTAATTTGCATATAAATTTTAAAAAGCGAATTTACATCTCACAAAATGAAAGTTATTAAAAAGACAAACAAATTAAAATGCAAATAATAATATGTTTTTTTTTTTCAAGCAAAACCTGTACAGTCCAATTTACATCTCACAAAATGAAAGTTATTAAAAAGACAAACAAATTAAAATGCAAATAATAACATGTTTTTTTTTTCAAGCAAAACCTGTACAGTCTTAAGTCAAAAATAAAAGCATCTAGAACTTTGGTCCACAGGAAGTTACAGAACATTGTTGATTCTTGATGATGAAAGGTAGATTATCATATCATTATATATAAAATGTTATGAAATGACAGAAAAGTTCCAGCTAGGTAACTGCAAAGATTAATTTGTCCATACAAAAGTAATGCAAAGTACATACTGTATGTAATGATCTTCAATTTAGGGTTTAGAAATCGCTCACAAACATGTTACAAACATCTCCTCTAAAAATACTGTTTGTTTCTTTAGGTACCACTACAGCTCAACAACTTACACTTTACTTAATAACTTACTCTTTTCCTGTTATTCTCATTTGTTAGTCAGTCTACCGCTGCCTCCTGAATTATGGCTACTTGTTATTTTGTACACACATTTGTGGTTTGAGGTAAGAGGGGGAGGGGTTACTACTAGTGAGGGTAGAGAGTGGGTTTGAGTATTTTGGCAGCACTTAATGCTTAAACGCAGGCTGTTGCACCATGGTTCATTATTCTTTTCTTCTCCTTGTTATCTCTTTGGCTGGTAAGATATCATTCATTCCTTTTTTTTTTCAGAATTTGTATTGTATTTGTATTTTTTTAAAGTAAAAATGTTGGTAAACTATTAAATATTTAAAGCTAGAATATAATTTAAATAGTCTGGTGTGAGTTACTCATGTTTTTGTCACAGGTGGGATGGAGAGTGGTATTATTGGAGGAAAAGTGGCTAAACCTCATTCCAGGCCATACATGGCATCTATTCAGATCAATAAACATCACACATGTGGAGGGATGCTGATCAGAGAGGATTATGTACTGACAGCGGCCCACTGTTTGAAGTGAGTATGTCCCAGGCTGCATGTGAAGGATTACTTATGATGCTTTTCAAAAAGAATGTTGTAGCCTCAATACTTTTAGTTTATCTGTAAATTTGTGTTTTAGTTATTCAATTACTTGAAGACCAAAATACCTTCATTACAGTTTTTGATTTTTTTCTACAGCCGTAGTGTCTTCTCTAGTCGAGATCACTTTGAGGTTGTTCTGGGAGCTCACAACATCACGAAGAAGGAGAAGAGCCAGTATCTGGTACCAAGACATTAGCGGCAGATCCTTCAAGTCCTGTAGGTTGAGCTGCCTCGATTGCCATCCAGTAGAACCCACAGATGTTCATTTGGATTCAATTGGAGATCAGAACAACACCTTGAACCCTTCATCATGTTCTTCAGATCATTCCCAAACAATGTGTGCAGTGTAGTAACACATCCACATTTCAGAGCTGAACATTGCCCAGAGTACACCCTCCCTCCATCGGTGTCCCACAGTGCATTCTGCTGCCATCTCTTCCCCAGGTAAATGGCACACACATACACGGGAAATTGGGACTCATTGAACCTGGCGACCTTTTTCCTCTACTCCGAGGTTCAGTTCTAGACAAGCAAGATGGCTGCCAAGGGACTGAGTGGTTGGTTAGGCTCCACTCCCCTGCTAAATTTATATTAAATGATCTTTCAAGTGTTTTTATTCAAGCCCTTTTATAAGGAAATTGGATTGGTAGAGAATGCAGCTAGAAAATGTTTGACGGGAAAGGATTTTCGTAAACAACTGATCTGTTTTTTGATGTGTTGCTGTATGGTGTTGGTAGTATCCAACTATGCATCATCAGTGTTGGGCAAGTTGCTTCCAAAATGTAATACATTATATATTACTAGTTACTGTCTTTTGAAAGTAATTAGTTACGTTACAATATTACTGTCTCTGAATTGTAATGCGTTACACTACTTTTGAGTTACTTTCACCAAAATATCCACAGAAGTATTATAAAATGCCAAAATGTAGTTTATTGCTGCTCATTCTACATCCAGTGGAGGGTAATGTGGTAGGTCTATATAGCATAAAATTATAAAATCATATTTAGATACTGTTATGTAGGTCTACATTAATGTTACGTTGTAGTTTAGGTTAAACACAGATAAGCACAAACCACATTATTACATTCATAAATAACATTGTTAAATAAAGCGAAATGTTATAATGTACAACCAATAAACACAATACCTAGCCTAGCTATTTTGAACAGTTTCAGAAGAAAACAAGAATGAAAACATTTGCTAAACAAGCCAAAACGAATTAGGCTAATTCAATGCGAAACTGAAAGCAATTATTTATTAAACCATATTTGCGATGTATTTGAATGCTAAACCATTATTTATTATGTAAACCAGGCTTAAAGCGCTTAAAAACATCCTCGTCACATGAGCAAATGTGTGTTTGGCCCAAACGGCACGGATTGTAGCCTACTACGCAGTACGCACTAATTTAAATTAACCAGTGTATCTATATGTTTGGTTGACTGTATTTTATTCTGATAATGAACCGGCTGCAACGTTTGCAATGCTGTATGTGTGTGCGTGAGGCGCCGGCGCGATCGAACAGCAGAAACAAACAACAAAAATACTTCTTCATTTTTGGTCATACAAGGGCCCGTTTCAGAAAGGAGGTTAAGTGAAAACTCGGAGTATGTTAACCCTGAAATGAGGCTGGGTTTTCAGTTTCAGAATGTGAGGTATGTCAAACCCGAGAAAGCAGGGTAAGTCAAGCCCGTTTCTGAAAGAGAGGTAACTTATACTCAGAGTCAGTTACCATGGTAACTTACTCTATGAACCTGGTTATGTTACTATAATGATTCTGTAAATGGTGATCAGCACCCAAATATTGTATATAATGTGGAAGCTACTGCCTTTTGCCTTGGCGTGACATCTCACTTTTTGCAGACAGTGCAAAGGCAGAGTACCTACAATAACTTCAAAATAGCGGTAAAAATCAAGTTTGAGATCATTTTCATTAAAACATCTAATTGCCAGATTTCCAGTGTCCTACCCATAATAAATTTTTTCTGGACAAATAAAAATCTTTAAAGCCATTTTTCTACGTTTCACAGTCTAGCGAGTTTCACACTCCACCTGTCACTCAACAACGTATGCTGTTCTGTGTCAGCTGCGTCACGCCGGATCTGTTTCCTACGTTGTTGTGATTTGATCTAAATGGAAACAGCGTATCCGTGTGACGCAGCTGACACAGAATAGCATACACTGTTTACGTTCAGTGGATACTCTCCAAAATGGCACCAGGGTGATGCTGCGGAGATGAATTGTTGAATTACGTCGTTTTTCATGGTTTTATAAATCTGAAAACTTTTGAGCGTACGCAAAATCTAGCTTTTGTGCCTACGTACAGTTTTAGGATGAAATCTACAGAGTTTTATAAATGAGACCCCAGGTGTTTCCAGGTTTTACTTGTGCTATTTCTCCATGTTGAGAGTTTGGTGTCGCACATATTGCACCTGACTATGCAGTCTTATCCTTTTCTCTGATGAACTGAAAATAACAGGAGTGTGTCCATCACACAAATGTAGAATCCGTCTCTGCAGTCATCTCAACCGTCTAATTCCAGCAACAGGAAATAAACAAACTAGTTTACCCGCTGAATTTTTTCTCTGGTGCTGTTTTGCGGTGTTGGTAAATTCACCACTTAATTTTGAGTTAAAATATGTTGTTGTAACTTGAAACACAATACCTAGCCTATAGGCTATTTTGAACGGTTTCAGAAGAAAACAAGAATGAAAAATATAAGTTGCTAAACAAGCCAAAATGAATTAGGCTAATTCAATGCGAAACTGAAAGCAAACGGCGTTCTCGCGCAGCCTACCTCTCTCATTCGGCATTAATCCATTAAATGTGTCCATATTTGCGATGTATTTGAATGCTTTATGTAATCCAAGCTTACTTAACGCACTTAAAAAACATCCTCGTCACATGAGCAAATGTGTGTTTGGCCCGAGCTCAGGCTGATCGACACGGATTGTACTACGCAGTAGGCTACGCACTATTTAAATTAACCAGTGTATCTATATGTTTGGTTGACTGTATTTTATTCTGATAATGAACAGGCTGCAACGTTTGCAATGCTGTATGTGTGTGCGTCAGGCGCCGGCGCGATGGAACAGCGGAAACAAACAACAAAAAAATACTCTGTATTTTTGGTCATACAGATCATTCGAAACTGCAATGTGTTTACTTTTATTTCTGTCATCTCGGTTTCCTTTCCCTGGACTTTCGTAGAGCGCCGCGCCACACAAATAGCATATGAACCAAACTCAGCAACATAGCCTATCTCTCAGTCTTTTCCTTTCGTTTTGTTAATCTGTTAATTTGGCTATTGAAGTCAAATATTTCGCACATTCATTCATTTTATATATAGGCTATGATTTAATAAAAACAGATTTTATTTTTAGTTAAACTTAATTTTTGTTTCTCGTCCGCCGTCTTTTTCTCTTCTCCGACCCCGCAGCTCTCTCTTCGATAGCTTAGTGTTAGTGGCACCAGTCCAGGTGTTTCCAGGTTTTACTCGTGCTATTTCTCCATGTTGAGAGTTTGGTGTCGCACATATTGCGCCTGACTATGCATTCTTATCCTTTTCTCCGATGAACTGAAAATAACAGGAGTGTGTCCATCTCACAAATGTAGAATCCGTCTCTGCAGTCATCTCAACCGTCTAATTCCAGCAACAGGAAATAAACAAACTAGTTTACCCGCTGAATTTTTTCTCTGGTGCTGTTTTGCGGTGTTGGTAAATTCACCACTTAATTTTGAGTTAAAATATGTTGTTGTAACTTTCGTTAATGAGATTGTAACGAGTAGTAATATTACCCAAATTTTATTACTAATGTGTTATATTACTGCGTTACAGCAAAAAGTAATATAGGCCTACTACTGTAATATTATTACTTTTGTAATGAGTTACTCCCAACACTGTCTATATTATGCACTTTGTTCTCTTTAAATTACTTTGCTATTTGCAGCTGAAGAACAAAGCCAAGCTGAGCAAATTTGTGAAAGTTATGACTTTTGCTAAGAAGAATGGAAAAACACCTGCTAATATTCACTGCTCCATTGCGGGTTGGGGGTTGAAAACCCCAAAAGGAAACCAGGCATCAGATGTGATGCGGGAAGTCAATCTCAAACTGCAGTTCAGCACTGAATGTAAAAACAAGTGGCAGCAGTACTTCAACTCTGAGAGAATGATCTGCAGTATTTCAGATGGGAAACATGCTTTTTGTATGGTATGGTATTCTATTCTATTATGTTATGTTATGTTATGTTATGTTATATTAATGTATTTCTCTATCCATCTTATTCATAGGGGGATTCAGGGAGTCCTCTTATCTGCAATACTAAACCACAAGGAATTGCTTCATATACCTTTAATGGTGACTGTACAAATAAATCATATCCTCAAGTTTATGTAAAAACCTCCTATTTCCTCCCCTGGATTAAAAAGAACATTGGTTAAAATTAAACAAACAAATAAATAAATAATCTGGGTTCTTACATTAAAGGTGTTTTTGTTGTTGTTTCACTTTTATACTTTTTTTTTAACCACTTGTTAATCTGCATTTAAGTTTGCTAATGCATGTACAGTGGGTATAGAAAAGAATCACCCCACTTTAAAATTATCACATTTTGTTGCTTTGCAGCCTTAAATAAAGACGGACACAGTTTTTGTTTTGTCAGGCTGTATTTACTCAGTGCAACTGATCCAGGGAGGGTCTGTGTTGAACCAAATACCTTCCACTTCTTAATAATAGACTTCACTGTGCTTCTAGGCATTGATAAAGTCTTTTAATTTTTTTTGCATCCATCTCCTGACTTGTGCCTGTCCACAACTTTATCTTGAAGATCTTTTGACAGTGCCTTGCCACCCATAGCTGATTGTTTGCTTCAGTTACACTACCAAGGACTGAAATGCTCCAGGAAAGCTCTTTTCATGCTGAGCTAATCAAAATGACTACAGCTGATCACAGTTGAAATTCTTTTCTGTGCCCACTGTAGGCTCCATATATTTGCCATCATAGCTGCAAGGGCCAACCTGATCAATCTTGTTACCTAAAATAGTAATGACAAAAAGAGTCAATTCAACAGTGAAAACATGATTGCAGTTTTACATGCTTCACACTTTCACACTTTTTGCTTTTAAATGGGCAAACTAAAACAAACTTAATTGCACACATTTTGCTTTAAATAATGGTTACTTTTACTGTTTATGTGGTTTATGTGTGATTGTTTGATACTCATCAAATTAGTCTGTTCCTGCAGAAACCTGTTGTTGCTCATGTGATTTCACACCTCTGTGCTCTCTGAGTGACCTTGTGAAAATTCCACCTATGAAGCCCCTTTCTTTGCACGCAAGCATGTGGTCTGAAAGGAGGTATGAAAACTAGAGTAGTGTATTTGAGCCAAAGTTGAGAACATTCTAGTTAGATGTCAGTATGTCATATTCTATACTGTCTCTCAGGAAATGCATTTTGACATGTTGGTCTGTCTTATTGAATGTGGATCCATTCATTGGCGGCAAACTATTACACTTGTAAATATGTAAAGCTGATTCTATTCATTTAAATTTCAGTATTTAAAATACAAAAGTTCAAATCCTATTTGGGCAATGACCAGGTCTCTGATGCCTCTTTATTTATCTGGCAAATGAATATCAGAGATGATAAGAGTTCATACTGTAGGTGATCACATGAAGTAAAATGCATCTCATGCTTTCTCATCTGATAGTTGACTGAATAACAAATTCCAAAGCATTTTGTGGTTGGTAATTTAATAACATGAAATGAAATATATCACCATTTGTTAATAAAAAACGGACTAAATTTGTTTCAGATTTGATAAAATTACATGAACTATATTGTCCTTCCTAAGACAGATAAAAAATGTCTAGCTAATGTGACTGTCGCTGGCTGGGTTCTTACTAACAAGGAGAAAGTGCATCAAGGGCTGCAGGAAGTCACTCTGTATCTGCTGCTCACCTCAGAATATAGAATCATGTGGCAGTGATAATTCAGTTCAGAAATATACGTTTGTGGTCAGAATTATTGCCACCACTGGACTCTGGAGCAGTGGGAACATGTTCTGTGGAGTGACAATTCACTCTTCTCTGTTTGGCGGTCTGATGGGCGAGTCTGGGTTTAGCGGAAGCCAGGAGTTAACTGGAGTTATGCCAACGTTACCTGCCTGACTGCACTGTGCCAGCTGTAAAGTTTGGTGGAGGAGGGATAATGTGAATTAAAACGTGCATCTCAAAATCAATGTTATTATAGAGAAAAACAAATCAAAGTACAAAAAATTATTTGATTTATCAAGCAAAGGTCATACAAATCCTAAGCCAAAAATAAAATCAGCTGTCCAACTTTGGTCCACAGGAAGCTCCAGAACATTGTTCCTTTTTGATGTTGAAAGGTATAAATTACCAAAGCATATGCACCATTACATACGTTAATAATATATTACATATATGAAACAGTAATAGTATAAAATGACAGAAAGTGCCAGGAAATAGCAAAGATTAAGATGTCCATACTAAAGGGATGTGAAGTACAAATGTCACTATAGAGGGCAGAAACAGCTTTCAAAATTTATAATTAGTCACTTCTTGTATGTTACAAACATTTCCTCTTTAAAAAAAAAGACAGTGTTTTTTGGGGGGTTTTTTTGGTCCCCTGTTGACCTGTTTTTTAAGCCAGAAAGTTTTTGATGTCACCCAATGTTTGGTTTTTTGCTTCCCACAAGCAACGTTCAGTCATTGACCACAAATAAAATACTACGTTGATCAGTCAGTGTGTGATCTTAACAGAACACCAAAACTTCAGCCCATCAAAAGTTTTTTAATAAACATGAGATTTGGAATTAAGGTACTTCTTCATTTAATTTCTTCTCTGGTAACAGTACTTATGATTGAGTGCAGTATTTCAATTGTTTTGTTTCTGTGACACCTCTTTGTTAGTCAGTATACCGTTGCCGCCTGGGTTTAAGCTGCTTTTGTTATTTTGTACACACATTTATGGTTCGAGGTTAGAGGGGGAGGAGATATATAACTAGTGAGCGCAGATAGTGGGTCTGAATAATTTAATAGCATGCTCACTTAATGCTTAAACTCAGACTGTACTTCTCAATCATGTTTCCTTACGTTTTTCTTCTCCTTTGTATCCCTTTTGCTGGTAAGAAGTTATTCATTTAGTTCTTTCTGAATTTGTATTGTGCATCTTTTTTTTCAAGAGCAAAAATTATTTGAAAGCTAGAATATGGTTTAGGCTAAATAAAAATGTATGAACTTGTAAAATTTTTAAATATAGCCACAAGCAGAAATCATCGGGTTTCTAGCACCAACGGCTCATGTGGATGATTAGGTGCTGCGATTGAAATGCATCTTTTCAAATATAATGTGTTTTTTTACAGAAAAGTCTATTTTGAATGTTCACTGATTTAGGGTTTGATGAAGAGAGAGAAAAACCACATTTTTTTGCTACCATATGTGATCAGAAGATATGTGGTGTACATGGACTCTTGTTTAACATTTACATTTAGAAGAATTGCATGTCACAGGTCAGTTTCAAATAAGTCATCATAAATAATTTGCTGCTCAAAAAATAATAAATAAATAAATCTGTAACTTAAAAAGTCGATATTTAATTACCATTAGGCCCTTCACGCTTTACATGCAATCTGTATTGTTAAAAGCGCTATATAAATAAAGGTGACTTGACTTGACTTATATAGTACTATATACAATATATTTCTATAGTATGTGTGGCCTTCCAACCTTCCTTAGACTCCTAAAAAGCCCAATTCCTACTTAAGTAATCTGGTAATGGTGTGAGTTTGTTTTTTGTCACAGGTGGGATGGAGAGTGGTATTATTGGAGGAAAAGTGGCTGAACTTAATTCCCGACCATACATGGCATCTATTCAGATCAATAAACATCACACATGTGGAGGGATGCTGATCAGAGAGGATTATGTACTGACAGCGGCCCACTGTTTGAAGTGAGTATGTCCCAGGCTGCATTATGATGCTTTTCAAAAAGATTTGAGACTTGCCTTGCCTTGAGCCTTGAGACTTTTATTTCATGTGTAAATCTGTGTTTTAGCTATTCGAATACATTAAGACCAAAATACCTTCATTAAACAGTTTTGATTTTTTCCACAGTCGTAGTGTCTTATCTAGTCGAGATCACTTTGAGGATGTTCTGGGAGCTCACAACATCACGAAGAAGGAGAAGAGCCAGCAGAGAATCCCAGTGAGGAAATACATCCGACATCCTATGTTTGAACGAAACAAGGAGAAGGACTACAGCTATGATATCATGTTACTAAAGGTACTTTCACCTTCATCTGTAACTCCATTTTATGCACGTTGTTTGCTCTCTTTAAATTATTATGCTATTTGCAGCTGAAGAACAAAGCCAAGCTGAGCAAATTTGTGAAAGTTATGCCTCTTTTTAAGAATGGAAAAACACCAGCTAATGTTCACTGCTCCATTGTGGGTTGGGGGTTGAAAACCCCAAAAGGAAACCAGGCATCAGATGTGATGCGGGAAGTCCGTCTCAAACTGGAGGAGAACTCAAAATGTGAAAAAATGTGGCAGCTGTACTTCAACTCTGAGAGAATGATCTGTAGTGTTTCAGATGGGAAACATGCTTTTTGTATGGTATATTACATTACATTCTATTCTATTCTATTAATGTATTTCTCTATCCATCTTATTCATAGGGGGATTCAGGGAGTCCTCTTATCTGCAATACTAAACCACAAGGAATTGCTTCATATACCTTTAATGGTAACTGTACAAATAAATCATATCCTCAAGTTTATGTTAAAATCTCCTACTTCCTCCCCTGGATTAAAAAGAAAATGAAAATGAATGAATTAAATTAATGAATTAATTTTAAATTGGCTTTTTACATTAAACAACAGCGAAAACATGTAGCCTGATTGCAGTTTTGCATACTTCACACTCACACTCTCACAGTCATTGCTTAATGGTCTTTTAAATGGGCAGAACACAACGACTATATTGCACAGATTTTATTTCAAATAATGGTTATTTTAACTGTGCAGGGGTTGGTGTGTGATTGCTTGATACTTGTCTAATTAGTCTGTTCCTGCCAAAACCTCTTGCTCTCTGAGTGATGTTGTGAAAAGTCCCCCCGTTTGTGTGCAAGCCTGTGGTGAGTGATATGAAAACTAGAGGAGGTGTATTTGAGCCAAAGTTGAGAATATTATTAAGGTGTCAATATGTCTGTTATATACTGTCTGTCTTATCAAAAGTAGATCCTTTCAGTGACAACCAGCTACACTTGTAAATACACAAGCTTTTCAGTATTTGAAATACAAGTTCAAATCCTATTTGGGCAATGACCAGAGCTGAATATCAGAGATCATAAGAGTTGGTGCTAATATGAAGTAAAATGCATCTCATGCTTTCTTAGCTGCTAGCTGTCTGAATCACAACAAAGCATTTTGAGGTTGATAATTGAATAACATAAAATTAAATATACCACCATTTGCTATTTAAAAAAATTCTGACTAAATGTTTTAGATTTTCAGAAATTACATAAACTACATTATTGAGGGATGAAAAAAATACCAGCTAATGTAACTGTGGAAATGTATAAAGGGTGCCACAGGAAGTCTTGCAAACTGCTGCTCACCTCAGAATACAGAATCATGTAGCAGCGATACTTCAGTTCAGACATTTATGATTGGCAGTATCACAAATGGAAAATATTTGTCTGTCCAGTAATACTATACAATTTGATTTATAATTATGAATATATGTATAATGAAGTGAAAAAAGAAGAGCCAAACAGTTTATTCAAATGGATCTTTATTTATTGTTGATGTCTCAAGTAAATAGTTCTGTACATGCACAATATTAACAGCTTGCTAATATAGCAAAGAATTGTGAATCATTTATAATTTACACAGATAAAAAAAAAAAAAGTAAATCTGTGATATTAATTTCTTCAGATGACTGTAACTAATCCTAAAGATTAAGCAGGACTGGTTCTTTTAATAAAAAAAACCTGTCATATCTTCTGAAATGATACTATAAACAGAGAAATTGTTTAAATTAACTTTTACTTTTAAAAAATCACCTTTACAAACAGTAAACAAACATGACAAGGGAAGAGATGGGGTATTACTTGGGTCCATATTTTTTTACCATTAAATATGAAAATACAAATATCTCAGAATACAGGTGATGATCAATTCACATAAATCCTTCTGTCTTGGTAAGATGGGTGTTAATGTTAAAAAAACATTCAAAAACAACACTCCAACTGATTGCTCTCTGCAAAGGAACATGATGACAGAAGATTATTCATATGCTTGTTCTAAACCCACCAACCCAAAGTATGTGTACACTCAATCATTATGCAGACTTTTGAAATGAAAGCGCCTCCTGTCGGTGAAACTCTGCATCTAAGGAGGAAAAAAAACTATTAAATAACAAAAAAATAATAATGCATTACTCTATATTAAATTATAAATGAATTACATCTACAGTTTGATTTAGAATCTTATAGGTAATTGTCTAAAATTATTACAAAACAAAACGCGCACACAAATGTGGTCACATACAAAAAGAGAAATTACACTCTCACCTGGCTAGGGTCTCTTGTGAAGTATCTCTTCTCTATTACCTAGAGACAAAATAACAATTTACACAAAATGTATTGCACAGAGACACAGTATATTAGACATATACACCAGGACAGAGAATCATTAGGATCAGAGTGGAAATACACATTTTAGTTTCACTGAAGTCTCTACCTTGTCAAAGAATCGGCTCAATTTAACAGCATTTGAAGATCCAGCAGCAAGATACCGTGGATTTGTACAATCCTGAGAAGAAAAGCAGGTTAAAGCTCAGAATTCATAAGTGCGAAATCCCCAAAGAAGATTTAATACAACAAATGGAAACAAGTTTTTTGCTTAATATTAAATTAGTTTGGGTTGAGATATTTTAACAGCACTGAAAAGCACACACCAAATTGATCTCTTCTGCATTAAAGTCTTCAGATAGAAAGGCAGTGCGGGTCAGGACATCATTCCGCTTGTTTTCTGGGATCTGATCAAATTTGGTGCCAATTAGCAGGAGGGGAACTGAGTTCTCTGCAAACTGTTCTCTGTCATAATCTCTGCAAGTGCAAAACATCAGAATTATTTCCTTTGAACATATCTAGGACCTTATAGACAAAATAAAGTATTCTCTCACTGTATTCTGATATACAGGTGCATCTCAATAAACAAAAGGAGCCCCTACCATGTATTGAGTACATGTACAGTAAATGAGCATACTTTCCAGAAGGCCAACAATTCATTAAAAATGTTTTTTTTTATTGGTCTTATGGAGTATTCTAATTTGTTGAGATAGTGAGTTGGTGGGTTTTTGTTAAATGTGAGCCAAAATCATCACAATTAAAAGAACCAAAGACTTAAACTACTTCAGTCTGTGTGCATTGAATTTATTTAATACACGAGTTTCACAATTTGAGTTGAATTACTGAAATAAATGAACTTTTCCACGACATTCTAATTTATTGAGATGCACCTGTATGATCGTCCTTACAGAACCAGAAGACTCACCCATTTGATACAATGATGCCAGTTGGAGATGAGTCTTTGCTCAGTGCCTCCAGTGACCAGGGGTACAGATTCTGAGAGGATTTCTTATTGGTCAAATCATGAACTAAAATAATGCCTAGAAGGGAAAAAAAGAGAAGTGATTTAGCATTAAAGTAGAGTCATTACAAATATTCCAGCATGCTTTTTTACTTTGTATACATGTAAGAACAACTTTTAATAGTGTGTCTGATACTTAACCATTTACAAAATTGTAAAACACTGCTCTGGTGCTTTTAACACTGCTGGCACTGCCAACAGATCCCCCAACGTCCCAGAGTTCAATGTAGTATGTCTTCTCTTCTGGAGTGCCTTCTCTGTAGTCATGAACCTGTGATAAAAAGCAAGGCAAGGATTGCTATATAGGTTTATGATAATAACACAGTAAATTAATAAAAATCACTCCGAATTGTCACTGTACCCTGACGTCCACTGAGCAGCCCACAGTCCATGACGGATTGCCCAAAACTTGATTCTGGCAGAGTAAATGTACAAGAGAGGACTTCCCTACTCCTGTAAACAGACATAAAATAACGCTGATCAGAACAGGAATACTGAGGCTCACAAAGTATTTATTTTTAAAAGAAAAAGAACAACGTCGAAAGTGTGGTTTCTCATGTTTAACATTCTCAAATAATGTTGAACATAATAGTAATATTGTAGAAATCCAAGCAAATGTGGCAGGCTAATAGTTCTAGCTTGAGTCGAATATTAGACAACACGCTTACAATTTAAATTTACAGTCACAATATCTTTGAGGAGGTTACAGAAAAACAACGACGATAGATTATTTAGATAAGATATATTACCGGAATCTCCCAAAACCAACACTTTCACCCTATCCAAAGACGCCATTTCTTTCCGGAAGTAACTACACTGTGCTCTCTGTCCCACTTGCTGTGTCTCATTTAGAAGGCTGCGCCCTCCGGAGGTCGCATTCGAAGGCTGCATACGTCATCGAGGCTGTCTCACTTCAGAAAAGTAAGTAGGACACTCCGAATGCGACCTTCTTTCACAGGAATTCGGAGGATGCATGAGGTGTATCCTTCGCTGCTACAGATAACCCACAATTCTTTGCGTCGCCGTAAACAACCGTTGTTAATTTGAAAAATGCCGGCGCCGGCAGATGTACACACGAGCGCAGATGTGGTGTTTACAACTTCGCCTCGGTAAAAACGGATAAACTTTGTTTTTAATATCCTCCTCCTTTTTTTCTCTAACAGATGTCTGCTGTACTTACGCTGCAGCTCCTCAAACATTGAACAAAATAAAACAAGTAAAAGCATTTTTTTTTTAAATTACTTTACAAATTTAGAAATAATTTTCCTTAATTTAAGTAGTGTGAGAGCGCAACGATGCTCTAAATGTGTTGGCATAGCAACGTGATACTTCCTGTTTCCTTTTCCGCCTGTCCTACGAAAGGCCGTCTCGTTTAATTCTAGGTTGAGGACACTTCGTATATGCATCCTACAGAGGATGCGACCTCCAGAGGATTCGACCTCCGGAGGGCGCAGCCTTCTAAATGAGACACAGCTATTTGTTTGGTGGAAGAATAATGTTTTTATTAATATCATTACACTTTATTTGCTCTGTTTTATT